CATGGACCTTCCACCGACCTAGCAACGACCTCACACCGACATCACATCGACCTCCAACGGACCTCATGTCGACCTCACATCGACCTCACTTTGACCTCATCCCGATCTTCCACCGATCTAACACCGACCTCACACCGATCTCCAACCGACCTCACATAAACCTCCAACCGACCTCCCATCCACCTCCCATCGACCTCCCATTGACCTCCAATCGACCTCCCGCCAACCTAACATTGACCTCCCATCGACCTCCCATCGACCTCCCATCGACATCACATCGACCTCACATCGACCTCACATCGACCTCACATCGTTTTCACACCGACCTCACACTTATTTCCTACTGTCCTCACACCAAGCTCCCATCAACCTCCAATCAACCTCCAATCGACCTCCAACCGACCTCACATCGACACCAATCAACCTCCCACCGACCTCCCACCAAATTCCCACCAACGTCCCACCGACCTCACATCGACCTCCCACTTACCTCACATCGAACTAGCATCGAACTTCCACGGATCGCAAATCCCCTTCAAATCGACCTCCAACCGATCTCCCACTGACTTCACGTTGACCTCACGTCGACCTTACATCGACCTCACATCGACCTCACAACTGATCTCCCACAGACCTCCCACGGACTTCACGTCGACCTCACGTTGACCTCACATCGACCTCACATCGACCTCACATCGACCTCACACTGACCTCACAACGATCTCCTACTAACCTCCACTGACCTCACATCGACTCCAATCGACCTGCAACCGACCTCCCAATAACCTCCCACCACCGTTCCTCCGACCTCCCACCGACCTACCAAAGACTTTGTGACGATCTGAGGCTGGACTTTGTAAAATTTCTTATATCGTAGGGCCGCCCTTGGTAACCCTTGTATAATAACCCCTTTCCCTCCCCTCAAGTTGCCCCGAAGTCGCTCTGCACGAGTGAGTTCCCTTGTGATATCACATTCCTGCACCAGTTCGCTCACCCCCCCGAACATGCTATTTGCGGTCAACCATCCCACCGAACAACCTTGAGGAAATAATACCATTCCCCCCCTCATTTTTGCCCTGTAGACAGCAAGGCCGAGTATCGTCCCTTGCTGGAAATGCATTGTCTAGACAGAGAACTCACGCCGAAGCCTGAAAAAGGATGGTCACCTCAGTCCGATTAACCTTGAGGGTTGAAGGTCAAACCCGCAACAGTGAAAGTGATTTTCATTGGATAGAAAATTGACCCCTCATGTGAATCACCCAATTGAACCATCAGCTAATCGTCATCGAACTCGAATAAATAGCCTGGACAAGCAAGATTCTGCCTTTTATGATCTGATCACCTGACGGTGGATGCTGGAAGGATCTGCACTCAGAACTTCGTCAGCATGATACATAACTGCATCCTAGGATATTAGCAAGTACATGACTTTAAGATCTGATCACTTGATTGTGGACGCTTGAAGTGACTAGACTTAGCACTTCACTGGCGTGATACTTAACTTCAACTGCTACCTAGAGTACTAGTAAGTACGCAACCATGATTTTGGTATTGCACTTGTATTGTTCATTCGCTATGTCGCAATTATTCGATCGTGGTTGATCCTATTCCAATAATGCCTATATTCACTTTATATTGATATTATGGATTATATTATTGTTTTTGCTGTGGGCTTCGACATGCCGCCATCCCATCATGGGGATGGTAGGTTGTTGTTCCAACTCGCCCATGTCTCTTTTAACGAGATGACAATACGGACACTATGTACCTGTAGATATAATGATTGTTATTGATACCATGTCCCATATTTCATTAATTAAAATGTTTGAGTGGTCTAACATTGTCGCGATGCAACATATGCTCCCGCCGACAATGACAAGACTTATAATCACATCCACCATTTGGATGTATATGCACGAGCTATGTCACCTTCCATACATCGATCTGAATTCGTTGCTGTTGGAACGGGACTTATCAGCTTATGGATATTCGCCTGGATACTTATCCAATTTTGTATCATTTTGCCTTTAGCCTGGTTTCTACTACTGGACCGACTTACCTCGAGCTGGAACTAGGGGATGATCACATCCTACACCAAACTACCTGACAGCTAGGACTTCGAGATCCAGGGACTCTCACCACCACGATTTATCGCGGGAGAGTCATTTTCCCCTCGCAGACATCCCAAGGAATCTACGACCGGGAACTCCGACTTCGCTACGCTCAGAACAGCACCGAAGGCCGGAACAGGGACACTACTTCTTGAACAGAAGGACTCCCACACTGTGTGATCCACCGAGACCATCACAGAATCTATAAAGGCTAAGTTTACCAAGAACGAACATAGAACTTGAGCAGTATAGCAATAGTAATGATGATACCGCCTGTATGTAAGGGACACTTGCTTTGTGTTAATATACTTTTCTAATTGGATGAAATCCGTTTGATATATATACATTGAGCATCACGAGTGTTTCAAGTAGGAAGTTGTAAATATTATTGTGTAATAAATATTTGTAGTTAATTTCACCTTTAACTAAGACTTCGTTTCAGTCTATACTATATGTATATAGATAGGTGTTATGTCCGTGTGGTTATTCGGCTTAAATAACATATCCCCAGACAGAGTGCCAAGAGGAGATCTCATACGAGAGACACTCCTCTCAATTAAGTCATAAGTCGGATCACCACACGGGTGTAAATGGGGGCTCGTCCGGGATGTTTCGAACAAACGTCCGTTTAGTATAATAAAATAGATAGACTGAATAATTTTGGTATTAGCGACTTTTGAAAATTTTAAATTTTAAGTCGGAAAAGGATAAGAACTAAGTAAGAAACTTTATTTGCTATGCTCAAGGTTTATGGTCTTTCTACTTAAGATATTAAATTAATTTAAATCTTATTGATGTTCATGTGATAATTATTTGATTTGGTGATTGCAAAATCATTGGTTCGTACTGCTAGTGTTCTAGGTTCTAAGTAGTAAGTACTAACACACGCCAAATATGGCTGAGTTTGTTAAAATCAGAGCTGAGGCCAGAAAGGACGGAGAATCATATGGATTCACGGGTGCCGAATTATCAAAATATGTCGAAGAACGCATTAAGGCAGAAAGAGAGGCCGCTGATAGACAGGCAGACCGAGAGGCCGCTGAGAGAAAGGAACAGGCAGCCCGAGAAGCCGCTGATAGACAGGCAGACCGAGAGGCCGCTGAGAGAAAGGAACAGGCAGCCCGAGAAGCCGCTGATAGACAGGCAGACCGAGAGGCCGCTGAGAGAAAGGAACAGGCAGCCCGAGAGGCCGCTGAGAGAGAGAAACAGGCAGCCAGAGAGCACGAACTAAAGATGAAGAAGTTGGAAACAGAACAGTTAAGAATTAGCCGTGAGCCTAAAACTGAAGCCACTGCTTCAGGGTCCAGTACCATACCGACCGCAGTCACGTATGACGCCAAGGTAGGACTAGTGCACACGCCTTTTTCATTTCCCCTGGAAGCGTTTGATGATGAAGAATGTATGTCTCCGGATCTTAGGATATTCATAGAGGAACAAAGGGCCACCCAGATAGATGTAATCAAGGAGTTGGCGGACCGGTACACCTCCGACCACAAGAGAAATCGTAAAGAGAAGAAAAAAGTAAAGGGCCATCAGGAAGTAAAATCCAACAAGTATACGCATGAACTCGGAACAGGGCCGTTGCACCCTAGGAATTTTAAATTAGATAATTCATCCTTTGGCCATAAAAGAAACCAGGTAGTAAACACTTTATCTCATACCCGAGAGTGTGATGATAAAATTCGACAGCCACCGGCACCGACCACCGCTGTCCCAGTCTGTTCAAATCGCCCGTGCTTGACCGCCACGATACAGACCCAACTTTCTAATGATGCTCAGGATGATAAACCCGTCCCGCCACTCGTAGAAAGTAAATTAGTCAATGGCACCTTTGACCGTTGCCTCAATGACTCTAGACGATCGTATGATGCTGATTTACGACGATCTCTTGTCAAACCGGCTGATGTAACAAGCGACCTAGTCGCTGTGAAATGTGCTAACCAAGAAGCTCAACCGATGACCTTGGCCATTGTTCGGATTGCAGATGAGGAGAAGGAGGAATCCCACGATGCGCAAGGAATCATCACCGCAGCTGTCATGGACTCGCCGACCCATGATCTAATATCTTGTAGCCACTATGTAGTTGTGGATAACCCCACAAATCCTGTTATTGTCGCCTCCGCTGGGACAATAAATATGACTCCACCAGGAACCCTGGAAGAAACGTCAAACCCTGTACTGCAGGAAACGAAAGCCGCCTCACGAATTGAGCCGTTACTTTCAAGAACACCTACTCTAGTGGAGAGAGTAGACACGCCAGATGGAAAGCTGAATGATTTCCTCAAATCTGGATCGCTCTGTCACCCTACAAAAGGTGAAGAGAACAAAAGCCAGTTAATAGTCCCTGAGCTTTTGCAAAAAGAAATGACGCAGATAGAACAAGCTGCTACGTTAAATGGACACCTGGGTAATGGTGTATCCCTTAATCGCATTGGTTGTTTTAGATTTCGGTCAGGAATAAGAGAGAAAATAAAACGATACGCTTTACGTCGCACGCAGTGCCAGCAGATGATTCCCAGGAAAACCGTACCACGGATACCCCTCGGGAAAGCCTTGAAAGATAATCAAGTACTGTACACTCCATACTTTGGATCTCAAGTGTATCACCCTGATGCTAATGGACTCGCCGAGCGAAACGACTCAACGCTTGTATCCATGCTCAGACGCATTAAATATGGACGACCAGAGGAATGGGACGCCCACCCGCCAGCAGAAATTTACGCTTATCGTATAAAGTTTGCTTCCCCCTCAATTGATTCATGGATCATATCCAAAGAAGATGAAGAGAAACATCGAAGATGGAGACCAGGGAGTAAAACTAAAAATATCTCTTCGTTACTTGACAGAATCAAAATATCAGAAGGAATAAGACTGCCCAATGAAGTTAGAGAGCCCTATGAAGAGGCTATAGATGAAGCCAGTTGCCAGAAGTTAATGTTAAGATTTAAGAAGCGTGTTTTCAGGAAACAAGAAAAGATAACCAATTTGACTGACTTATCAGAACGGTTCATTGACTCCGGATTAGACTCACAAGAGATTAAGAAGCAGATCTTGGCAACTAATCAAGAAGATCGCCAAATTCTTGTTAATCAAAAGGGCATTCAGTCAAACTTGTATCTGGTTTCCCACGACAACACAGATGTTTCTTTTGCTACAAATGACATGTTGCAAGAAATTACAGATCATATTAAGTTAAATAAAAATGAAGATACTACAATAATATCAGTTGATACAACTCTTGGTGATCAAGTAATTACTGTTCTTGCAAATGACCTGGAATGTCTACAACCAGTTGTAAAAGGGGAATTTGAAGAAGTTCTGAAGAACTTAACCATCAAGGTGGATACGCCAGACATCAACCTTAAATTATTTGCAGAAGTCGCCCAACCAGTATTGACGCAGATGTGGTGGAAAGGACCACGCCTAAAAAGGCAATTAGATGATAATATATCGTATAGCGGAAGAATTCAAGCTGTATCGCCAGATTTGGAAGGAAAGCGTCGTCAGTTCCGTGAACTTGACGTCATTTATATTTGGTTACAGAACCTCGCCAGCCGTAAGAAACATGACCAAGAGATTCAAGATGAAGTGGAACTCAGGGAGAACCCCTTCAACTTCTTTGCCTCATGTTTGCGACTGGAAGTCCCCGCAAACAGATTGAGATTTCTCAGAGGAGAGTATACCGCTGAGGAGCCGTATGTTACAGCTGACGAACTTTAGTTCAAGAGAATCGCCCCACCATAGTGACACTGATGTGTTGTACCCCTCTGTCTCATATAGACCACCCATCAAACACCCATCGACCTCAAATCGACCTCCCACCGACCTCACATCTACTCCAATCGACCTACCACAGACCTCCCACCGACCTCCAGCAAACCTCTCACCGACCTCCTACAGACCTCGAATCCCATCAACTTCCCACCGACATCACTACGACCTCCAAACGGCCGCCCACTGAACTTCAACCAACCTCACACAGACCTCCCATTGACCACACTTCGACTTCACATCAACATCCCACCGACCTCACATCGACCTCACATCGACTCCCAAAGACCTTCCACCGACCTCCCATCGACCTCCCACCTAGTTCACATCGAACTACCATCGAACTTCAACCGACCTCACATCCCCTCTCACATCGACCTCTCACCGACCACCCACCAAACTCTCATCGACCTTCTACTGACTTAGCAACGACCTCACACCGACATCACATCGACCTCCCACTGACCTCTCGTCGACCTCACATCGACCTCACTTTGACTTCATATCGATCTCACACCAACCTCACACCGATCGCTCACTGACCTCACACCGAGCTCCCATCGACCTCCCATCGACTTCCCACCGACATCACTTCGATCTCCCACCGACCGTCAACTGAAATCCAAACAACCTCACACCAACCTCACATCGACCTCAAATTTACCTCACTTCGACCTCACATCAACATCCCACCGACCTCATATCGATCTCACATCGACCTCCCAACGATCTCCCACCAACCTCCCATCGACCTCCCACCTACCTCACATCGAACTAACATCTAACATCCACCGACCTCACATCCCCCTCATATCGACCTTCAACCGATCTCCCACAGACCTCCCAGGGACTTCACGTCGACCTCATATCGACCTCACATCGACATCACACCGACCTCACACCGACCTCCCACTGACCTCACAACGACCTCCCATTGACCTCCCATCGACCTCCAATCGACCTCTCACTGACCTCACATCGACTCCAATCGACCTCCCACCAACCACCCACCAACCTCCCACCGACATCCAACCGACCTCTCATCGACTTCCCTCTGACATCGCTTCGACCTCCCACTGATTGCACATAGACCTCCAATCGACCTTACACTATCCGCTAACAAGAAATCCAACCGACCTCACACCGACCACACATCGACTCGAACCGACCTCACATCGACCTCCCATAGAATTCCCATCGACATCACTTCGACCTCACACCGACCTTCTACCGACCTCACATCGACATCCCAACGACCTCCTATAGACATCACAATTGACCTCAAAATGATGTCCCATCGACCTCACATCTTCTCCAACCGATCTTTCACAGACCTCCCACAGACTTCACGTCGACCTCACATCGACCTCCAATCGACCTCCCACCGACCTCACATAAACTACAATCGACCTCCTTCTGACCTCACACTGATCTCCCACAAACCATTTATCTCCCATGAACTTCCCACCGACATCACTTGGACCTCCCACCGACCTCCCACAGACTTTCATCGACCTCCTAACGATTTCCCACCGACATCACTTCGACCTCGCAACAACCGACGATCGACTTCCCATCGACCTCCCACCGATCACCCACTGAACTCCAACCGACCTCACATCGACCTCACACCGACCTCACATCGATCTCCCACACAGCTTTCATCGACCTCCCATCGATTTCACTACGACATCATTTCAACCTCCTACCGACCGACCATCGACCTCCCTCCGACCGCCCAATAAACTCCAACCGATCTCCCACCGACCTCACACCGAACTCACACCGACCTCTCATCGACCACCCATCGACCTCACATCGACCTCCAATCGACCTCCCACTGACCTCCCATTACCCTCACATCAACCTCCAATCGACCTACCATCGACCTCATATTGACCTCCCATCGACCTCCCATCGACTACCCACCGAAACCACTTTGACCTCCCACCAAACTACCACCTCACATCGACCTCACTTCGACCTCAAACTGATCTCCCACCGACCTCACACCGACCTCACACCGATCTAACACCGACCTCACACCGACCTCACACCGACCTCAAATCAACCTTATATCGCCCACACATCAAACACCCATCAACCTCCAATCAACCTCCCACCGACCTCACATCGACTCCAATCGACATCCTCCCCAACCATCCATCGACTTCACACCGACATAACTTCAACCTCCAACCGACTGGCCTGTGACCTCTCATCTACCTCCCACCTACCGCCCACTGAAACGGACCTCACACCGACCTCACACAGACCTCACATCGACCTCCCAGTGACCTCACTTCGACCTCATATCAACCTCAAATCGACCTTACATCGACCTCCCACCGACCTCCCATCGACCTCCGACCTACCTCAGATCGAACTACCATCGAATTTCCACAGACCTCACATCCCCCTAACATCGATCTCCAACAGATCTCCCACAGACCTCCCACGGACTTCTTGTCGACCTCACATTGACCTCACATCGACCTAACACTGACCTCACACTGATCTCCCACTGACCACACACTGACCTCACATCGACCTCCAATTGACATCCCACAGACCTCAAACTACCTCCCACCAACCTCCCACCCACCTCCCACCGTCCTCCATCGACCTCACATCGATCTCCCACTGACCTCACATCAACCTCACTTCGACCTAACACGGACTTCACATCGACCTCAACTCGACTTTCCACAAACCCCCCACCAACCTACCAACGAACTCACACCGACCTCACATCGACCTCCCACCGATCTCACATTGACCTCCCAGCGATCTCACTTCGAACTTACATCAACCTCCCACCGACCTTACATCGACCTCACTTCGACCTCTTATCGACCTTTCATCGGCCATCCATCGACCTCCCATCAACCTCTAATCGACCTACCATTGACCTTACATTGACTCCAATCGACCTCCAACCTAACTCCCACCGACCTCCCACAAACCTCCCACCGAACGCCCACTAAAATCCAACCGACCTCACATCGACCTCCCAGCGACCTCACTTCTACCTCCAACCAAACGCCATTGAAATCTAACCAACCTCACACCGACCTCATATCGACCTCCAAGCAACCTCATATCGACCTCCAACCGATCTCACATCTACCTCCCTTCGACATCCCAACGACCTCCCTTCGAACTCCCACTTACCTAACACCGAACTCCAATCGACCTCCCACCAACCGCCCACTGAACTCCAACCGACCTCACACTGACTTAACATCGACCTCCCAGCAACCTATCATCGACCTACAAACGACCTACTATCGAACTCCCACAGATCTCCCATTGACTTACACCGACCTTACACTTACCTCACACCGCCTTCCTATCGACCTCACATCGACCTCCAACCGACCTCACATCGACCTCACATCAACCTCACATTGATCTCACATCGACCTCCCACCAACCTTCCACCGACCTACCAGCGACCTCACACTGACCTCACATCAAACTCCCTAGGACCTATCGTCGACCTCACATTGACCTCACATTGACCTCAAATCGATCTCACACTGATCTCCCACCGACCTCACATCGACCTCCCATTGAACTCCCACCTACCTCACATCGAACTCCCATCGACCTCCCACAGAACTCCCACCGAACTCTTACCGAGCTCCCACCAACCTCCCCCGAACGCCCACTAAAATCCAACTGACCTCACACCGACCTCACATCGACCTCCCAGCGATTTCACTTTGAACTCACATCGACCTCCAACAAACCTCACTTCGACCTCACATTGAACTCCCATCGAACTCCAATCGACCTCAAACCGAACGCCCACTGAAATTTAACCAACCTCACACTGACCTCACATCGACCTCCCAGTGACCTCACATCGATCTCATATCGACCTCCCACCGACCTCACATCGACCTCACATCGGCCTCCCATCGACCTCCTACTTACCTGACATCAAACTCCAATCGACCTCTCACCGACCGCCCACTGAACTCCAACCGACGTCACACAATAATCTCACATCGACCTCCCAACGACCTACCATCGAACTCCCACCGGTCTCCAATCGACCTCAAATCGACCTCCAATCGACCTCCAACAGACCTCCCACCAATCTCCCACCAACCTCCAACCAACCTCCCACCGAACAATCGAACCCCCATCGACCTCCAATCGAACTCCAATCGACCTTCCACCGATCTCACATCGACTCCAATCGACCTCCCACCGACTCCCACCGTCCTCCAATCAACCTCCTACCGAAATCCAACCGACCTCCCATCGACCTCCTATTGACTTCCCACCGACATCGCTTCAACCTCCCACAGACCGACCATCGACTTCTCATCGACCTCCCACCGACAACCTACTGAACTCCAACTGACCTCACACTGACCTCACATCGACATCCCACGGCCTAACTTCGACCTCACATCGAGCTACCATTGAACTTCCACCGACCTCACATCCCCGTCACATCGACCTCCAACCAATGTCCCACAGACCTCCCGCGAACTTTACGTCGACCTCCCATCGACCTCCAATCGACTTCCAACCGACATCACACGAACCTCACACCGAAATCCCACTGACATACCACTGACCACACAACGATCTAACATCGACCTCTCTTGGACCTCACGTCGACCTCAAATCGACTTTACATCGAACTCAGACCGACCTCACACCGATCTCCCACCGACCTCACACTGACCTCACTTCGACCTCAAACCGACCTCACACTGATCTCCCACAAACCTCACACCGACCTCCCATTGACCTCCCATCGACCTACAATCGACCTCTCACCGACCTCACATCGACACGAATCGACATCCCACCGAACTCCCACCAACAAACCACCAAACTCCCACTGACCTCACACAGACCTCCTACCGACCTCCCATCGAATT